TTTTTTTTTGTTTTGTTTCTCCCGACATTTTCAGGGTTCTGTTCTCCTGGCATTTCTCCCCTGACGTCTCAGGTTCTTTCATTTGTGTTTCTGCCTGCATCCTTTTTGGCTTTCCCTTCACATACCGGGTTGCTCTGCATGCCAAGCATGTGTGTTCTAACACTGAGTGCACACGCCCAGCTGGGGACCCGCTGTTAATTGACTCTTCTCCTCCTTCCAGATCATGTTTGAGACCTTCAACACCCCGGCCATGTACGTGGCCATTCAGGCCGTGCTGTCCCTCTACGCCTCTGGCCGCACCACAGGCATTGTAATGGACTCTGGGGACGGTGTGACCCACACCGTGCCCATCTACGAGGGCTACGCTCTGCCCCACGCCATCCTGCGTCTGGACCTGGCCGGCCGCGACCTCACCGACTACCTCATGAAGATCCTGACAGAGAGGGGCTACAGCTTCACCACCACGGCCGAGCGGGAGATCGTGCGGGACATCAAGGAGAAGCTCTGCTACGTGGCCCTGGACTTCGAGCAGGAGATGGCCACGGCCGCCTCCTCCTCCTCGCTGGAGAAGAGCTACGAGCTGCCCGACGGGCAGGTCATCACCATCGGCAACGAGAGGTTCCGGTGTCCAGAGGCCCTTTTCCAGCCTTCTTTCCTGGGTATGTGTGGGGCAGGGTCAGCTCCGGGTGGGGTGGGGTTGATGGGTGGAGGGGAGGGGTTCAGGATGCATCACCAGGAGGTCCTGAGTGGTACATGCAAGGACCTGTCTGACACTAACTGTGGTGGGTGGGCAGTGAGGGGTCCTGGGTTAGTAGTAACAAGCTGCTTTGTGGCAGAAAGGGGGCTGGGTGGCACTGACAAGGTGGTCCGGTGGGCACTTGGGCATCCTGGGTGGCACTAACGAACCTGCCCCTCTCTCCTCCCCACCCAGGCATGGAATCCTGTGGCATCCACGAGACCACTTTCAACTCCATCATGAAGTGTGACGTGGACATCAGGAAGGACCTGTACGCCAACACGGTGCTGTCTGGAGGCACCACCATGTACCCCGGCATCGCCGACAGGATGCAGAAGGAGATCACGGCGCTGGCCCCCAGCACCATGAAGATCAAGGTGGGACGGGCTCCAGGGGGTGAGGGGTGAAGGGAAGGCTCTGGCTGTGCCCTGACCACTGTTCTCTCCTCTCCCGCAGATCATCGCCCCGCCGGAGCGCAAATATTCCGTGTGGATCGGCGGCTCCATCCTGGCGTCCCTCTCCACCTTCCAGCAGATGTGGATCAGCAAGCAGGAGTACGACGAGTCCGGCCCCTCCATCGTGCACCGTAAATGCTTCTAAACGGACTGCGGGCCCCGCTGCCACGCCCGGGAGCTGTGCCCAGGCATCCATACACCTCATGCCAGCCTCCTGCAACTGGAATAAGCCTTCTTCCAAAAGAAATCCTGCCCTTGGGAAGTCTGTACCTGATGTTAGACACGTGGATGGGCGCGCTGTCACTTGATTTGACCTTGTTGTAACCGAGTTAGCCACTCCCCGAGCTCATACCCTGTACGGATCTGGCTCCCCGGGGCTCCCTGATCCCGGGATTTCCCCATCCCGGGGCCCCCCCACACTGACAGCGGCCCCGGGACCGCTCTGTACAGGGTATTTGGAGCCAGAGTTTGCCGTACATCCCGTGTGGAATATTCCAGGTTTCCTGTAGAGGCTGGTAGGAGTCCATCGAGAATTTTTTTTTTTTTTTTTTTTTTCACCGTTTCTAGCAAGGTTGGGAAAAAAAAAAACAAACATATCGCATCCGAGCCTTACACCCTCCTCATCCCCCTCCTCCTCCTGGTCCCACCGCAGGGCTCGAGTCCTCAGCTCTGAGTTGCTGAAACTCTGCATTTACACCTGTAAATTTCTGCATTTTAATTTATGTCAGATTTTTTTTTTCTTTTTTTTTTTTGTTTTTTTTTTTTTTTTTTTGTACGTTGCCTTAATGTTCTCACGTGACGGTAGAAAAAAAAAAACAAACCAAAATTTGTTTAAGAATCATCCGAAAAAAGTTGAGAAATTGTAATGCCCAACAAACACTTCATTGTGTAAGGAAAATAAAATGGAAAAAAAGCTGCAGTAACTCCTGCTGAGATTGTGTGTGGTGAGGTGGGGAAGGGGGGGATTGGGTGGGAGCTTCCCCAGGAAACTGGGGTGGGGTTTTGGGGCTAAAAACAGGTGTTTGGGGGCCAAGAAGCTGGATTTTCTTACACAGGCTCCTGGCTACTCTTGCCCCTGTCTGTGGAATTGCAGGAGTCCTGCCCACCAGCTGAGGCCCTGCCTTGGGGTCTGCAGCCCACCCTGCCACCCTGCTCCATCGCTCTGGGACTGAGGTGCCCCATGTCCAGGGGTTGGGGTGTTGGGGTGGGTGGGATACACTCCAGGTCATCCAGGGATTCACTCCAGGGATCCCTTCAGCCCCTGGGGTTGGTGCCCTCGGGACTGGACACGGGTGGCTGAGGGGACATGACACAGGTGTGTGTGAGGACCCTGCAGTTGCTGTTCCCATTGATTTGGGGGTGCAGGTCCCTCTGGGTCGGTGGGGGTGTCCTGCCCCCCCTCTTCGTGGGCCCCCACAGCTCCTGTGCTCCCCCACTGCCCAGCACCTGCAACTGCCCACCTGTCCATCTGTCCACCCATGTTCTGCACCTGTCCGTCTGTCTGTCCATCCCTGTCTGTCCACCCTGCCAGCTCTGCTCCCACCCTTCAGCCCTCTGCATCCGTCTGTCCATCCTTCCAGCCTCCTTGCATCCATCTGTCTGTCCAGCTGTCCATTCCTTCCCATGTCCATCTGTCCATCCACCCGTGTCCATCTGTCTGTCCACCCTGCCAGTTCCTCACCCGCTGCCCGTCCCTCCCTGCCCCCGTCTGTCCGTCCAGCTGTCCATCCCTTCCTGTCTCCCCGTGCCCGTCTGCCTGTCCATCTGTCCCTCCCTGTGTCCGTCTGTCTGTCCAGCCACCCTCCTGTCCCTGCACCAATCTGTCCGGCCTCCTCCCTGCCACCTGTCTGCCCGTCTGTCTGTCCCTCCCTCCCAGCAGCCGGCTGTCTGTCCT